CCCCCCCCCACCCCCCCCCCCACCCAAACCCCCACCGGGTTTTAAACTTAAAATCCACAATGGGTGATAATATATCAACAATCCGCATCCTCCTATCCTGCAGCCCCTCACCACCGCTCTATCAATTAGTTGTAGCTCTTTAAAAAAAATTGGCTATGCTGGATCTCTTTTAATTGTTTTAGGGGATCGATTCTGCATGTTCTGGATTTACAGAGATTATTGTCCTAATTATTTATCTTGTCCACTTTTGAGTAATAATTTTGGGGGTCAATAAATGCTTAATGCTGAGTCTACTACTATATATGCTTGAACTTCGGATAATAATGTTATTTCTTATCTAATACTCGATTTTGTCTTCGCTTAAATTGAGTTTATTTTCAAAATCTGTCAGATTACGATGGAAGTTGCTCTGGCACTACTATTTGGTGCAACCATTCTCTTAATTGTTCCATTCAAGTACATAGCTGCTTTCCTGATTTTTGATGCATTCACTCGAGAACTCACTTTCCGAAGGCAAATGGTTTTGAGATTCATGAGCCTTCTGAAGGAGCGGTGGGACATGGTGCCTGCCGCTCCAGTTGTCGTGCTACCATTTGAGGATGATGAGTCCGATGCACCAAGCCAAAGAAAGGAGTCCAGTAATGATGATGTAGGAAAACCAGAAAAACAGCTAAAGCAGTAGGTTATTGTAAATCTTCTTCTAGGTATTTTCTTTTCTTGTCTTTGTTCTTTATCCGGGTAGTTGGCGGTAGCAGTAGGAGTGACAGGTTGAAGATGAAGCAGAAAAACATTTTTGGTCTTAATAACAGTAATATTTGGGTGGGATTTTATAGTTTAGCCTCTTGGACCCTAGTTGAAAAGGTTATTGATTTTGTATGAATCTCTTCTGAAAAGGAGACAGAGCATTAGAATATAAGATGATGTGATTTTATTGTTGTTTTCATCGCTGGCTTTTTAAGTTCTCATTACCTTAATTTTCCTTCCTTTTCTGTTGGTTGGTTTGGGGGGGGGGGGGTTAAAGTGGGGGTGGTAGGGGATGGGGGGATGGTGAATTTATCGATCTTCAAAGCATAAAAGAATAATATCATAGACATGCAGTTTTACTGAGAATTTGAACGCTTATGCACTGGGGGTAAATGGCCAAATTTTGATGTTTTCACACTTTTGAAGACTACTCTCGAGA